ACCGGAAAAGATGTGAAAAAAAGTCAAAAGCCCCAACTGTTGCCTGATTAGAAAATATAAAATACTTATACGCAATAATTTTTTTTCATTTTTTATTTCAGTTCTTACCCATATTATTATTATTATACAGGATTTATATAGCACCAACAGTTTGCTCAGCGCTTTACTATATATATATATATATATATATATATATATATATATATATATAAAAAAATCACACACAAAACAGCTACACCTCCCTTTCATTGTATACTCATGTCATAAAAATCTCGAAAGGCAGGAGTGGAATCTATACTCTGCTTTTACATATATAGAGAAAATTATAAACTTCTGTTTTTCCCTTGTAAAGTGTGTGCTGCTTTTCAGAAACCCGAGTGAGGCAGCAGGATCTGCCGTCTAGTTCTGGTCCTCCGGAATGCGCCGTGTCAAGGATGGTACATACACTGCGTATTAACCTCTCTATTACTCCACAACCTTGGCGAGAGAAGAGGAATTGTTTCCTAAATCCCCCAGCCAATTAATCTGCTTCTGCGTGCCTGTGATATACTGCACAACATTACAATCTACATGCACCTGTCTCAGGGGAATGGAAGCCTACAGCCTGAGCAGATGCAGCTAAAAGAGGAAAGCTCAGATACCAGAACACTGAAATCCAGAACAGAACTATGCTTTAAAGGAGAAACAGTGAACCAAGTAAAGAGAATGGCTCCTTCCATACTGTAGTCACTGTGATACATACATAGCGGGTAAAATACATAATAAACACGTCACCGTTTTTCCAGGTAAAGGAAACTCTCAATTGGTTTGAAAGGAAGAAAGAAAATAAATCTGCCAGCATGGCCCAGCCAATCGCCTGACTTGAATCCAATAGAAAATCTATGGAAAGAACTAAAGATCAGAGTTCATAGAAGAGGCCCACGGAACCTTCATGATGTGAAGACTGTGTGGAAGAATGGGACAAAATCACACCTGAGCAATGCATGTGACTGGATTCTCCATACGGGAGGCGTCTTGAAACTGTCATTACCAACAAAGGATTTTGTACAAAAAATTAAATAAATTTCAGTTAGCGTGTTCAATACTTTTTCCCTGTGACGTTCCATTTTATTACACGTAATTTCTGGCATTATTTATTTTGGTTTCTTTGTATGTATGGATTGCATGGGTTGTTACTGACATGTGGTGAACATTTCATGTCAATAGCACCTTCAGAAATATATTTACCTATAAAAATGGTGACGTGTCCAATACTTATTTTACCCCGCTGTATATCAATATATATATATATATATATAAGCTTCGTTGACCGCCTCTGAGGGTGGCGGCTCTCTTGTTCTGGGAGGACATCACAACTGCGCATGCGTGCCCTCAGGGGCGTGCGGGAGATTGGTGGTGCACTGTGTCCCTGGGACACAGCGGATCACCGATCGCAGTAAAGAGCCGATGACACAGGCTCTGTCATGTGACCAGCTGTGTCCAATCACCGCTGATCGCATGTTAACAGGAAATGCCGGTTATCGGCATTCCTCTCCTCATGCTGACAGCTGAGGAGAGGAGAGCCATTAAGCGGCATTCCTCAGCGGGGACATTACCACTGATCATCAGGGCACTGGTGTAGGTCCTTAGGCAGAAAATTACTTCTATGAATCACAGAAGTGCGCTTAACCACTTGCCCTCCAAAGGATTTACCCCCCTTCCTGACCAGGCCATTTTTGTGATATGGCGCTGCGTTACTTTAACTGACAATTGCGCAGTCATGCAACACTGCACTCAAATGAACTTTTATGTAGTTTTTTTCCCCCACAAATAGAGATTGTTTTGTTAGTATTTGATTGCCTATGTGTTTTTTATTTTTTGCCCTATAAACAAAAAAAGACCATCAATTTTGAAGAAAAAAGTATATATTTTTTTACGTTTTGCTATAAAACATGTCTAATAAAAAAATTTAAAAAATCAAATTTCATCGTAAATTTAGGCCAAAATGTATTCTGCGACATGTCTTTGGTAAAAAAAATCCCAATACGTGTAAATAATTGGTTTATGGTATATATACGACATTTAATTTTTTTTTTTTATATACTAGCAATGGTGGCGATCACCGACTTATAGCGGGACTGCAGTGGGCATTCTGACACTGGGGGGGGGGGGGGGGGGACTGACTTGGTGTCGCTGACATCCCCAGTGACACCAATACAGTGGTCACTGCTAATAAAAACCACTGACACTGTACTAATGGCATTAGGCAGAAAGGGGTTAACATGATGGGCGATCAAAAGGTTAGCTGTGTGCGGTTTTACTGTGTAAGCACACTGCTTTGTATGGCTCTGATATGCAGAGCCATACAAAGCAGTATACAGGAGCTGACAGGGGAGAGATCTATATTGTTTACAGGCAGGCCTCTCCCCCGTCAGTGATACTCGGCGATCACCGGGTGTCGGCGGGGAATCACCGTCTAGGTCCCGGTGATCGCCAGCTGAGGCTGTCCAATGGCGGCGCAGGTAGGGAGCGCGCGTGCCCTCTACCCAGAAATGCAAAATCACATATATACGTGATTTTGCACAGCCCTGCTGCCCTGTGGCAGTATTTTTGCTATAGGGCAGTGAACAAGCAGTTAAGAGTGTCCAGTGCGCATGAACCCTTAGGCTAGGTTCACATCTGTGCGGGTGGTGCCGCTGCAGATCCGCACAAAAATCTGTGCAGCCGAACCACCCGCACATTGAAATGCGGACCCGCGGGCGGGTGCGATTAGTTCTAATGGCAAGCCACTCGCACTGGAAAACGCAACAATACTGAGAACCGAGGTTCCGGTGCGTACTGTGTTTTCAGAAGAAGTGCAAGGACTTCTTCCCTGCGTGTCATAGGGTATGGGAATCCATTCAAACGAATGGGCTCTTGTGTCCGCGCAAAACACGGCCCGCATGGCCGATGCTGCATCCAGCTAGGTGGCTATGATTGTTTGCGTCTCTTTTAAAAGTTTAATACAGCAGACAGGTTCGAGACAAGCCCTTCTCTATCACAAAAACGTGAAACATTTAGGTTTTGAAAGTCCTGATCCTCTTGGGAAGTTACAATTTTGACAATTTAATTTAAACAGGATCTGGAAGCAGCTGCTCCTGAGAAAACCTCACATTGGACAGTTCAAATCATACATACGTAATACACAAGGAAAACTGAATTATTGCATTTCTGTATGACACAATATAATAAAATACAATGAAATAGTTGGGCACAGGGGCGGACTGACCATTCGAGCACTCGGGCACTGCCCGAGGGCCCAGGGTCAGTAGGGGGCCCCATGAAATGCCCTGGTACCTTTTTTATAGGCTTTTTTGAGTGTGGGCAAGGACACAGGGGCCCCATGATCCCCTATTGCCCGGGGGCCCCATGAGTTGTCAGTCCACCCCTGGTTGGGCAACAATTATATTTTGGATTTACCTGAACACCATTTTAAGTTCAGCTTGCTCAACTTCTTTAAGCTGAAGGTCGTCTTCCAGCCTCTCCACAATAACGGTGTAGGACTCGCTTACTTTTTTCTTCCACTCATCTATAACAAAAAAAACCCCTAAAGATTAATGATGCGATAAGAGGAATTGATAGCCATAATCATTTACTGTTGCTTTGCCATATTTTTTAGCGCACAAAGTGGAGACTTTCCCTCTGTAAATGGAAATAGCACATGCCACGGTGGAGCCTAAAGGAATTGTAGCCAATGTGTTTTTTCACTTCGATATTTTGTGATGCTTGTAATTTGGCCTGAACATTGCACAGTAAACAGGATGGAAGTGAATGTGAAAAGGAGTCAAAGTAATAATCCAAACAGATTCATGGGAAGAAACCTCAAGGGTAGAATGAAGCAGACCAAGGAGCAAAAACTGTAGCAGCAGGGAAGGAGGTAGACATTACTGTGTCCTCCACCCTAGCTGGAACCTGCAATGACCCCAGAAAGCTTGACCGATGTCCCAATGGAAACATTGTTATGAGCTGATCACTCTGAAAACACTTCCAGCTTCTCATGCATTGTTACACAGTTACATAGTTAGTCTGGCTGAAAAAAGACAAACGTCCATCCAGTTCAACCATAAAAAAAAAAAGGGTTTAAATCCTACACACACAGTTGATCCAGAGGAAGGCAAAAAACCCAGCAAAGCATGATTCAATTTGCTCCTTCCGGGAAAAAAATTCCTTCCTGATCCCCCGAGAGGCAATCGGATATTCCCTGGATCAACTTTACCTATAAATCTTATATCCAGTTATATTCTGTGTATCCAAGAAATAATCCAGGACTTTTGTTGAAGCAATCCACTGAGCTGGCCAGAACCAACTCTTGAGGGAGTCTATTCCACATTCTCACAGCTCTTACTGTGAAGAAACCTTTCCGAGTTTGGAGATTAAATTTCTTTTCCTCCAGACGTAAAGAGTTCACTATATAAACCACTGATGCATTTATACATGGAGTTCATATCCCCCCCCCTTATGTATTATGCATGGTGATCATATCCCCCTTATGTATTATACATGGAGATCATATCCCCCCTTATGTATTATACATGGAGATCATATCCCCCTTATGTATTATACATGGAGATCATATCCCCCCTTATGTATTATACATGGTGATCATATCCCCCCTTATGTATTATACATGGAGATCATATCCCCCCTTATGTATTATACATGGAGATCATATCCCCCCCTTATGTATTATACATGGAGATCATATCCCCCCTTATGTATTATACATGGAGAGATATCCCCCATTATGTATTATACATGAATCATATCCCCTTTATGTATTATACATGGAGACACCATCTAGAGTGTTCTGTGTGCAGAGCCCTGGGAGACCAGATATAGTGAATGCAGGGTCCTGGGAGACCAGATAGAATGAATGCAGGGTCCTGGGAGACCGATATAGTGAATGCGGGGTCTGAGGAGACCAGATATAGTGAATGCAGGGTCCGGGGAGACCAGATATAGTGAATGCAGGGTACGGGGAGAGCAGATATAGTGAATGCAGGGTCCTGGGAGACCAGATATTGTGAATGCAGGTGCTGGGAGACCAGATACATACAGTGAATGCAGGGTCCGGGGAGACCGGATATAGTGAATGCAGGGTTTGGGGAGACCGGATATAGTGAATGCAGGGTCCGGGGAGACTGGATATAGTGAATGCAGGGTCCTGGGAGACCGGATAGAGTGAATGCAGGGTCCAGGGAGATCAGATATAGTGAATGCAGGGTCCGAGGAGACCAGATCTAGTGAATGCAGGGCCCCGGGAGACCAGATATAGTGAGTGCAGGGTCCAGGGAGACCGGATATAGTGAATGCAGGGTCATGTGAGAGCAGATATAGTGAATATGGGGTCCGGGGAGACCAGATATAGTGAATATGGGTCCGGGGAGAACACATAAAGTGAATGTGGGGTCCAGGAGATAAGATATAGTGAATGCAGGGTCCTGCGAGACCAGATATAGTGAATGTTGGGTCCTGGGAGAGCGATATAGTGAATGTGGGGTCCTGGGAGACCAATATAGTGAATGCAAGGTCCTGGGAGACCAGATATAGCGAATGCAGGGTCTGGGAGACCAATATAGCGAATGCAGGGTCCGGGGAGACCAGATATAGTGAATGCAGGGTCCGGGAGACCAGATATAGCCAATGCAGGGTCCTGGGGAGACCAGATATAGTGAATGCAGGGTCCGGGGAGACCAGATATAGTGAATGCAGGGTCCGGGGAGACCACATATAGTAGCCAATGCAAGGGTCCGGGAGACCTGATATAGTGAATGCAGGGTCCGGGGAGACCAGATATAGTGAATGCAAGGTCCGGGGAGACCACATATAGTGAATGCAGGGTCCGGGGAGACCAGATATAGTGAATGCAGGGTCCGGGGAGACCAGATATAGTGAATGCAGGGTCCTGGGAGACCAGATATAGTGAATGCAGGGTCCTGGGAGAGCGGATATAGTGAATGTTGGGTCTGGGGAGACCAGATATAGCGAATGCAGGGTCCGGGGAGACCAGATATAATGAATGCAGGGTCCGGGGAGACCAGATATAGTGAATGCAGGATCCGGGGAGAGCAGATATAATGAATGCAGGGTCCGGGAGACCAGATATAGTGAATGCAGGGTCCGGGGAGAGCAGATATAGTGAATGCAGGGTCCTGGGAGACCAGATATAGTGCAATGCAGAGATCCAGGAGAGACCAGATATAGTGAATGCAGGATCCTGGGAGACCAGATATAGTGAATGCAGGGTCTGGGGAGACCAGATATAGTGAATGCAGGATCCGGGAGAGCACATATAGTGAATGCAGGGTCCTGGGAGACCAGATATAGTGCATGCAGAGTCCAGAGAGACCAGATATAGTGAATGCAGGATCCGGGTGAGAGCAGATATAGTGAATGCAGGGTCCTGGGAGACCAGATACAGTGAATGCAGGGGTCCGGGGAGACCGATATAGTGAATGCACGGTCCTGGGAGACCACATATAGCGAATGCAGGGTCCGGGGAGACCGGATATAGTGAATGCAGGGTCCAGGACAGACCAGATATAGTGAATGCAGGGTCCGGGGAGACCAGATATAGTGAATGAAGGGTCCAGGGAGACCGGATATAGTGAATGCAGGGTCCGGGGACACCAGATATAGTGCATGCAGGGTCCGGGGACACCAGATATAGTGAATGCAGGGTCCGGGGAGACCAGATATAGTGAATGCAGGGTCCGGGAGACCAGATATAGTGAATGCAGGGTCTGGGGTTCAGCAACAATAATAAAACACCAATACCTTGTGACCAGTGTATGGAATATGAGATATATAACATTACCTGTGCATGTCTGGGTTGGTCTAGACTTGTAGTTCCCCATAAGTTTTTTTGTTCTTTTTCGTCTTCCTTTCAGCCGGAGAATTCCTGGTAACGCTAGTCCAACTGCAAGAACAATGTCCCAAGTGCTGGAAGGGCTTTGATAGTCCCCCGGCTAAAAATAAACAGAGCTGTCAATGGAATGTCACACAACAATGACACGGAACGACTTCTACAAACAGGCAAGAGTCAACGCTGAAGGAAATCACTTTAGAAATGACTTTCATATCATTCAATTAAATTGCCTGTTATTTAAACCGAAAATGAAAAGTGATTTGTGCTTTTGTAAGAACCTTTTATTTTTTTTTTTCACACCTTGCTTGCTTACATATTCCAGCTGTAGTGCAACTAAACTCATACAGGCCACAATTAACCACTGAAACTCCATGTTTTACCCCCATCATGACCAGGCCATTTTTTTCTATTTAGCACTGTGCTACTTTAACTGTCAATTGCGCGGTCATGCAACAGTGTACCCAAACAAAATTTATATTAATATTTCACAAAAATAGAGCTTTGTTTTGGTGGTATTTGATCACCACTAGTTTTTTTTGTTTGTTTTTTTTTTATATTTTTTTCTTTTTGATATAAAACATATCCATTAAAAATTTACAAAACAAAAATCAAACTTTTTCATAAATTTTGGTCAAAATGTATTCTGCTACATGTGTTTGATAAAAAAAATTCCAATAAGTATATATTGATTGGTTTGCATGAAAGTGATAGCTTCTACAAACTATGGTATACATCAGGGGCGGACTGACCATTCGGACACTTGGGTACTGCCCGAGGGCCCGGGGTCAGTAGGGAGCCCCATGAGATGCCCCTGGTACCTTTCATAGGCTTTTTTTGGGAGTGGTTTGAATGTGGGTGAGGACACATGGGCCCCATGATCCCCTATTGTCCGGGGGCCCCATGAGTTGTCAGTCTGCCTGGTATACAGTCTATACTGGAATTTTGTATTATTATTTTTTACTACTAATGGTGGTTATCAGCAACTTGTAATGTGACTGCGATAGTGCAGTGAGCAATCTGACACTTACTGACACTGGGAGAACTGACTAACTGCCACTGACATCACCACTACAGTGATCAGTGCTAATACTGTAAACTGTCACTGTACTGACTCTGGCTGGGAAGGGGTTTTATTTAGGTATTACAGGTACTTATATAGCGCTGTCAATTTTTGGAGCGCTTTACATATATATATTGTACATTCACATCAGTCCCTAACCCTCAAGGGGTGTACAATCTAAGGTCCCTAACTCACATTCATACATACACATACTAGGGACAATTTAGATAGGAGTCAATTAACTTACCAGCATGTCTTTGGAGTGTGGGAGGAAATCGGAGTACCCAGAGGAAAGCCACACGGGCAGAACATATAAACTCCAGGCAGTTGGTGCCGTTGGGATTCAAACCAACAACCGTAGTGCTGCCAGGCGGAAGTGCTGACCATTTAGCCACTGTCCTAGGGCAATCAAGGTGTTAATTGTGTGCCTACCTATGTGTAATGTGTGCCGCTTTACTAACCCTAGATTCACATCTTTGGGGGTGGTGGTGCTGCTGCAGATCCGCACGAAAATCCGTGCAGCCGCACCACCCGCACAGAGAAATGCGGACCCGCGGGTGGGTGCTATTAGTTCTAATGGCATGCCGCCCGCACTGGAAAACGCAACCGTACTGGAAACCGAGGTTCCCATGCCGGCTGCGTTTTCCAAAGAAGTGCAGGAACTTCTTCGCTGCGTGTCACAGGCACGGGAGTCCATACAAATGAATGGGCTCTCGTGCCCGTGCAAAACGCGGCCGGCGCGCGACCGCATATATGTAAACCGGGGGTAATAGATCGCTTTGTTTGCTTTGCTGGGATGAGAAACAGAGAGATCGTTCTCTTTGTACAGAGCCCTGTGTCAACATAGAGCAAGATGTCACTTCTGACATCATTGCTTACCACGTGTGAAATCTGTGAACGATCACAGAGATCACATGGTAAAAGGCTATTCACAACAGCCTTGTACCATGTGAGAAGCTGTGACCAATCACAGCTCACACAGTCAGGGGCGGACTGACCATTTGGAAACTCGGGCACTGCCCGAGGGCCCGGGGTCAGTAGGGGGCCCCATGAGATGCCCCTGGTACCTTTTTCATAGGCTTTTTTGAGTTTGGGCAAGGACACAGGGGCCCCGTGATCCCCTATTGCCCGGGGTCCCATGAGTTGTCAGTCCGCCCCTGCACACAGTATTTCTCAATGGCTGCAAGAATGCAGCCAGAGAGAAGGAGTAATTATTGCTTTTACTGCCTTTATGGGTGTAAAAGCAATCAGTGTAAAAAAAAGAAAAAAAGTCTTCATCACCCCCCACAAGTAGTACAGTGTCACTATGGTGACACTGTACTGCTAGGGTGACAGTATGTTAAAATAAAACCCCATAAATAATAATATAAGAAAAATAAAATAAACATTTAAAAAAAAAAATTTGAAAAATTATAATTTTTGGTTATAAACTAATTTGGGTTTTTTTTGACTAAAAAGATAGATGAATACATTTTGGCCAAGATTTATGAAAGATTATTTATTTGCAAAATTATATAAGAAAAACACTTTCTTTTCAAAATGTTTGGACTTTTTCATTTACATAGCAAAAAAATAAAAATCCCAGTGGTGACTAAATACCACCAAAATAAAGTTTTATCTGTCTCAAAAAAATGCTAAAAAATTCACATGTGTACAGTGTTGCATGACCCGCGCAATTGTCATTCAAAGTGTGAAAGCTAAAAATTGGCCTGGGCAGGAATGGAGACGCTGCAGAAAAGCATGTAGTGTTTTTGATGCATTTTGCATTTTGTTCTGCCCAGCAACAAGTTGGGAAAAAAAAATGCAAACGCACCAAAAACGCACCGCAAAAATCACTGCAGAAACGCATCAAACTCAAAATGCATAGGTGTGAACCTAGGCTTAGGCAAGAGCCATCCTAAAACTGCAGAGCACACTCATGGAACAGAATGATTGCTTTATTACTGGTATGTAAGAGATAAAGGCTCCGTTCATACCTATGCAGTTTGCTTTTTGTCCGTTTTGCAGTGCTTTTCGCAGTTCATTTTGTGTTTTTCTACACACATTTTTACTGCGTTTTTACTGTGCTTTGCATTTTTTTTTGTTAAAGTGGAATTTTTTTTTTGCTGCTGCGCAGAATCAAGATGCAAAACGTGGCAAAAAACGCACTACCATGCATTTCAGAAGCTTCTCCATTGAACTCTATTGTAGCAAAAGCGCTGCTTTTTGCTTTTAAAAAAGTCCCTGAACCTTTCCAAAGACACAGCAGCTCAAAAAAGCATAGATGTGAACACGTTCTATAGGAAACCATGTTAAATGGACTGTAGTGAGTTTCTGCAAAAAGCACTAAAAAATGCATAGGTGTGAACGGAGCCAAAATCATGGTTAGAGACATCATTATGCCAGTAAAACTCTCAATAACTAGAAACCATACAGATCTGGCTGCCTGCCTGCCATCATGCAGGAAAATCACAGATGGCGGAGGAGGGGCTTAATTACAAGGAGAGGCGGACTGACAACTCATGGGGCCCCCAGGCAATAGGGGATCATGGGACCTATATGTCCTCACACACACCCAAAAAAGCCTATGAAAAACCAATGAAAGGTACCAGGGACATCTCATGGGGCCCCCTACTGACCCCAGGCCCTCGGGCAGTGCCTGAGTGCTCGAATGGTCAGTCCGCCCCTGATTACAAGCCTTCTTTGTCCAATCTTTGTCTTTCTGCTTTCAGCCCCGGGTTCACGTATACGCGGTGCGGTATATTACATGATTCGCACAATCCGCACCGCATTCCTGTGCAAATCACATGCGATTTGTGTGCAGTGCGATTGGTGCAATACATTTTGTATGGCTCTAATCGCACCAACGCCCGCACCAAAAATGTGCAGGACCCTTTTTATGGTCCGTACTAGAATTGGATCGCATGGATATTCACACCTATGCGATCCGATTCTGCACATCGCACCGCGTTTTGCGGACCGATTTGGGGGCGCTGTTACCTTAACATAACACACCCACACAGCGGTTC